TGAGTAAATAATTACAATAATTTATTTGTAACTCATTACATCCAGCACTGCTAATGGGCAAATAAGTTGAATGGTTCTGTTAGGACTTTATGTGTTGGCTCTGTTTGGGAATGCAGAAGTTGCAGAATCCCAAGGGCTCAAACACTGGAGTGCAGCCGGAGAAAGCCTGGCCTTACGCCGACCTGTTCCATCCCAAGAGTTCAAGTCCAAAGATCTCCAGTGGATTTGTTGTAAAACCACGATCAACTATGACCTTTTTAGCATGATCAATTATGTATATGTGACCGATTAACCTTTTTGTTGAGCAGATTTACTGTCCATACTGTTTATTTTTGTAATGAGATCTCCCCGGAGTGCTGCTCATCATCATTAAACTTCGCCTGATGGAGCCTGTAGTCTTGGCAGGGGTTTGTGGGTTTGTGCCGGCACATTCCTGCCAGCTTGGCCTGAATAGACACCGCAATGCCAATCTCAATACAGCTCAACAGCTGCACAGATGGTCTTCCCCTGACAAAGCCTAGCTGCTGTTATTCACTGGAAACACAGAGGAGAGCAGCAGCGATGGCCAGAACGTAACACGTCTAAGAGTGTCCCCAAGTCAAATTGTAGTCATTTGGTATTCAGCAACTGTTTTGAGTGGATTCACCATGTAATCTGGAGCTGACATTTAACAGTATAACTATAAACAGTTAAAAAAGCTTTTTATTTTGTCAGACACTTGGTGATTGTTTGAACTGATGAACAGAAGACAATTTTACATAAAAATAAATAAATAAATAAAAAGGGTTTGTAGGCAAACTGGCCGCAAAAGAAACAAAAAGGGCCTACAAATTCAAGAAAAAAACATACATAATAAAATACGCCTGCACAGTTAAACATATTGGGCCCTATCATACAACCGTTCTTTTACTATAGTTTCAGCTTGGCGCAAGAATCATTTTGAGGCGTTCTGGTCTAAAAAGGAAGGCATTCTGAGTCGCATTGCTGGCGCGTTGCTGTTTTGAGAAACTATAATAGATTTTTCAATAGACCAAAACAAACCCGGTCTAAAGTCGAGCACAGAGTTGTGCCTGGCTTACACACTGCTTAAAACACACAGGAAGATGTAGAGCAATACGCAAATATCTTTACATATTTTAAACTTAAAATATGATGCAGTAAAACACTTGACAAGCAACCAGATTTAAGACTAACAAGGAATCTAAAAATATTACAGTGCAGCTTAAATTTGGATAGAATTATTTATGAAAATGTATAATGTATTACATGCATTAAAAATGCATTTCTAATGCATCTTAGATGAATGCTTCAAGTAAAGTGTTAAACTGATAAATAACAATTTATTTATTTTCCATCCGACATTCCCTTTTCTTGCTTTTGGAAGAGTGGAGCATGCAATCCAATCCAAAGATCATGTATTGCAGCAGCAACGTGTCTCATTGTCACTTTTAGAAATATAATTTTTCCCCACCTTAATGAATAAATGTAATTAAATATAAAAAAAAAAAAAATGGTCACTTTACAATAAGTTTGTATTAGTTAATAATAATAGTGCATTTATTACCATGAACTAACAATGAGCAATACATTTATTACAATATTTTTCTCATACTAGTTAATGTTAGCTAATGAAAATAACATAATGTGTATTATTAGTTTATATTAACTCACAGTAAGCATGGGTCTGGATGCTAATAGTAAACTGAGATGAATAAATACTGTACATGTATTGTTCATAAATAGTTCATGTTAACAAATACATTAATTATTGAAACCGTTTTGTAAAGTGTGTTTGTGTGACAAAGTAAAGAAATATGTAAAAGGTTCAGGATTCTTTATTACATAAATATTGCATTCTAACATTTTTATGTAGTTTTGTTTTCCTAGTTCGTCCTTCCACAGTGCAAAAACAAACAAGATCAAATTAAATATTATATCATAATGAAATGAAACATTCTTGTCTATGTTATGTTAAAGTATTTTGCACTGGTACAGTTTTCTGCAATAGCTAAAATGCATTGAATGGGTAAATATAATAATAAATAAGCTAGATTATATAGAGATCATGTTTCTTCGATATTCATTCATTCATTCATTCATTCTTTTTTTTTTTTTTTTGGCTTAGTCCCTTTATTAATCAGGGGTCACAACAGCCGACTGTACAACCAACTTATCCATTACACAGCAAATGTCCTTTCAGCTGCAACCCATCACTGAGAAACACCCATATACACCCTTGCACACACATACACTATGGCTATTTATTCATAGTAACTTACTCAGTTCACCTATAGCGCATGTCTTTGGTCTGAGGGGGAAACTAGAAACACCCGGAGGAAACCCATGCGAACACGGGAGAACATACAAACTCCAAACAGAAATGCTAACTGAAAAACAACAAAAATATATTTCTGATTAGTAACACGGAATGTTAAGCATTTAATTTAGTTGTACAACTTTAAAATCATTTAGATTACTTTGAATGATAATATTCCATATTTTTAAATTGTTTGTTTCTAATGAAAACCAGTGTCCTGTCCTTTAAAAATGATACAATTATACAGCTTATATATAAAGCTTTCAGATGATAATACTATAAAAATAGACACTTATGACTGCTTTTGGACTCTTATGACTGTATATATGGTCACATATAAACATTGTAACAAATCTTTTTTCTGTTTATTTAGGGTTATACATTGCATTATGGGACCTTGATCTCTGCTCAGTCGACTTCTAATGTTGAAAATTCAACTCTACAGTTTAACAAAATGACTTTTATTGACATGTTAGTAGTTTGAAATAATATATAAGAAAAATGTAAAGGGCGGCATTGTAGTTCAGTGGTTAGCACTGTTGCCTCACAGCAAAAAAGGTGAGGGCCAAGGCCAGTTGCCATTTCTGTGTAGTGTTAGCATATTCTTCCCCATGTTCATGTGGGTTTAGGGCCCTGGTTTCCTCTGCAGTCCAAAGACATGCAGTATAAGTAAACTGGATCAACTAAATTGTCCGTACTGTATGTGTTTGTTTGTGAATGGGTGTTACTGGGTTGCGGCTGGAAGGGCATGCACTACGTAAAACTTATGGAGGAACAGTTGGTAGCTCATTCCACTGAGGCAACCCCTGCTAAATAAGTGACTAAGCCGAAGTAAAATTAATGAATAAATAAATGAATGAAATATATAATGTATATAGAATTAACTGTAAAATAACAGAAAATGTTCTGGCAGTTTGTGTACCATAATTTACAACACCAATCCAGAAAATATATCTCTTTAAAATCTTTAAAAAAGTACCTTTTCAAACATTTCATGGTTAAAAGTTTTTGTAAGAAAGATTAAGGTCCCATAATGCAATTTAAAACGTAAAATAAACGAGAAAAAAATGAAAAAATGATTCACAAAATTTGAAAAACTGTTAATTTACCGACATTTTTTACAGTGTATAAACAGTGTCGTGGGTTTAGTGATGTATATGATACATTCAAAAATTACATGATTGCATTTTTGACCACAAGTTTTCTGACAAAAACTACAAATCCAGAGAACATTCCAGTTACTAAAGTAAGGGGGGGGGGGGGGGGGGGTATGGGGTTAGTTTGTGCTACTTACAATCAATTTATAAAAGCGCTGAACCTTATCATGCCCCGGATGAGAAGTTATGCCAAGCCAAGAGGGTGAGCACACCTGCTTAGGTAGGTGGCCATAGCATGCAGGGTGGAAGCAGCCTGGCCTGCGGCCGTGTGGGATCTGGCTCTGAGAGAGCTCTCACTCGAAGCTTGGATGGAGCGTGTGGAGGAGAGAGGGGTCCGCAAGCCCGAGGACGGCAGATTTACTTCCACTGTCATTTTCATCTCTGCCCGAGTGCCCATCTTAACTAAGCAAACAGACATGCCACCGCAGTGATGACATGGACTGTCCGCGAGCACCACATCAACATGCTGGACCCCCAGACATAAAACGCAGTCCTTGTACCCATCATTCGGAGACAGGAAACCACGGCATCCAGAAATGCACAGTCGGAGTGATGTCTTAAAAAAGACTCGCTGCACGACCATGTTGCTCTTTTAGGAAATTCGCAACAATACATACCGCTCTAGAGAACTGGACTCAAAGAATTCCAGGCAAGTGAGAAACCGAGCTCGACCGTCTGCCGCCACGTATCACACACTCTGGACCGGAAGAAGCAGCCTACTTTCTCTTTCTCTCTCTCTGTCTTAACAGTCAACAACACTCATCGATTCTCCCAGAAGTTTCATGAAATGAAAAGGATGCCTCAGCTTGGCACGTGCCGCGCTTATATTCCAAATTGATTGTAAGATGTGCATGCTGACTCATTGGCATTTCATTGGCCCATTTATATACTCTTTCAGATGATTGGATTCTGATGAAATCCCCATAGTGGAAGTTTCTACATAGCATTGAAGTTCCCCTCCCGAAGGGGAAACCTTGAATTTATATATGCCATCAATACATGGTGTAAAGCTGATTCTCTAATCCTCAGCAGACTCAACGCAGTTCATATTTTAATGGGAAACATTTAATTCTCATAAATGCCAGAATTCTTTGACATACAATTCCAGAAAATATGTGAATGAGAAAGGTTTAATAGCTTTTTCTTTCAAGGTTTTGCATTGCATTATTTATGCTGTTTGCCGATTGAAGAAAATGGAAATGAAGCTTAATGAGAATTAGTCAGATTTCCTCCCTCTGATCTCACTGATGTTTCTCCGAGGAGAGAAACAGATGCTTTGGAAATGTCCCACCGAAGCGCAGTTTTTCCAGACTTTTTTGAAAGAAAAAAATGTGGGAAAAAAAATCTGCATATAGTCGGTTGTCAAGTCTTTACAGATGAACAGATCTAAGAGTGTATGATGCATTTGTCATGCCGATTTAATATATAAAAACAGCTTGAACTTTAACACACTGATAAAACAGTATCATATAGCATCATTAATGCATCAGCAAGCACATCACACACTCTCTGTTGTTTCTCCGCAGTCACTGAAGAATGAGGATGCTGTGCCCAAGAAGGATGTGCAGAGGATCCTGGAGCTTAGTCACAAGCAAAGGTGAAACAAGTTTTGTTGCTGTTGTTGTTTTCAGCCTCTGCAGTTTCTCCTTTGTACTGTATAAATGACTTACTGCAATGCAAATATAAAATGCATTGCAACATACATTATGAATACCTTCAGGGCTGCATTTTAAATTAAGTCCTCAAACAAAGTGTTAACTATTCAATTACTGAATCTTTGTTTTCGCCCCTATTGAATAGTGGAACACCGAACAGTTCTATGATTTGGTTTTATTGAAGATACTTGATGAAAAAAAAACAAACAAAAAAAAAAACCTTTTATCTGAAATAGAATTGTTTTGTGCATTCTTACACAATAAAAGTATTACCTGTTTTAAAACACAAGCACACACACTAAACAAAAAACTTTTTTTTTTATCATAATGTAAAAAACAAAACACTACATAAATTAAAATAACACTTTTTTTTTAAAGGGATGTTCATAAGGCTTCCGTGACATCTTTATAATCATGACATGCCTTCAATTGTCATTAAAGGGGTGGTCCAGTGTGTATTTTTAAGGCTTGGTCGTGTTTTTAAGATGCAAAGCAATATCTGCTTCATTTGTAGAAAATCACTATATTTTTCATATATCTTACTTTGATTATATACAGCTACTCAGCTAACATGAAAATGACTGTCATATATAGTTTCTTTGAAAGGCCTGCCCTCACGAGGCTCTGACTGATCAGTAAACATAATGTGCTGTTATTCAAGGATTGGCTCTACGGCACCAGGAAAAGCATCACACCCCTACAGGCATGTGAATTTGCTCTGTGTAAATACTGCCAGTCAGAGTAGCTGTTAGCCTTATCAGTTTGTGTATGAATCAGACAAAAATTGACACAGAGGACACAGCTGAATCTCACTCTTACTCTCTAAAATAAAATCTGACAAGTTTCACAAATATTCAGAATAAGCATGTGTAAGTAATATAAAACATTCACATATCTTTTGCGAGTTAAATATTTGAGATGTAGAACATGGCTGCATAGAAAGCGGCTGCATAGAGAGACACTGCAGCGCTGCTGAAGATTGTGGCTGTTTGCAGTGGTTTGATGGATATGAATTGTAGCTAAATTGCTAACATTTCAAACAGCATTGTTTACATCACTGTTTAAGTCATTGCAACAACATAGAAACTGTGCAACGTAATAGATCAATTTTAACAAATAAAAATACTTACATGTTGTGGCTCACAATCCACAGCTTCATATATATATATTGCTGGAGGAGTTTTAGCAAGAATCCAGCTCTGAACTGGGAGAGATTTTGAAGCTGTCCTTTGTCAAATGCTAGCTGGCTATATATATATATATATATATATATATATATATATATATATATATATATATATATATATATATATATATATATATATATATATATATATATATATATATATATATATATATATATATAATTTATTTATTTTTAATTATGTGTCATGTCCTACAGAAACCAAAATACAGAAAAAGAACATGCTCTGGCCCCTTTGTAGGGTGTATGTGCAAGGTGAACGCGCATAACCTGGAGCATTTGTGATCTCACTAGCCCAGATGTATTTTTTTGTAGTCCCCAAACTTCACTGTTTGACTTTGCTAAGCTCTGTAAAAGCTAATCTCTCCCTTTGCTTTGAACTTTGAACGTATTACATTCAGAGAAGTTGTTTATGTTCACACAGTTACATGACACATCAACTGAAGTTTAAGATATGATACCGTAGTGAACCACCTCTTTAAGTGTCATTATGTCATTTTAAATGCAAAGATGACATGGTTTGAGATGTCTTAGTTCTGTCAAATTTACTTTTAAGACAACATAACCTGTCATAAATCTGTCATCAACATGATTGTCATCAGGCTAGTATAATTGTGTCATGATTTTTTAGTTTTGAACACTTTATACATTTTCAGTAAATGTCAAATATTGTTAGAACTTTGTCATTTCTGTTTACTGACATTTAATTACATTTCAATGAACAATTAATTTTTTTTACCACTGTATTGAAGTCAAGAACCATATTAACGACAATTTTATAAAAAAAAATAAATATCATAAAACTGACAAAGACACTGTCAGGTTTTGTTGTTTTGTTAGGGTAAAATTGTCATCACAAAGACAGGTTATGATGTAACTGTTTATGTGAAGTTGTCATAACAAAGACATATCTTTATTCTTTCTTTACTCAATGTCATCTTTGCGTTTAAAATGACATAACTCGGTATAAGGCACCTAATGACATAAGCATGCTTTAAAATCTCATGTGTCATGTTATGATTATAAATGTGTCATGACAGTGTTATGAACACCCCTTCAAGTAAATTGTCATCCTGAAAACTATATAAAAATCAAAGTGATAATTATGCAGTGTTCCAAAGAGTCCTAGAGTTATTTTGTACTTAGTTACTATTTATATATTTTTTTTTTTCTCCAAGTGAGCAGTGCCAAAAAATATAATAATGTGAAATAACTTTTAATTAAAAAAAAAAGTTTAAAGGCAGGGATCTTAGCCTTTGTTTCAGTCAACTTTAAATGAAATGAACTGTGAAGGAAACAGTTCTCTGAGAGACTCTTTAATGAATTACTCACTCTCACACACAACATCAGTAATTAGAGACTGTTAGCGACTGTTTACATGCACGCGGCTGCAGACAGATGCTCTGCCATTTGTCGTATACATCTAAAGCTCTCTCGGTGACTGTTATTTCCCAGTTTCAAGAGCAACAGGGTTCTTTAACACAGCTTTTATGACTGCATCGGTTTAAATCAGATTGATTTGTCATGGGATTTCAGCGGCGGTAGCTTCAGAACACTTGCATCATCGCAACATAGCTGAAGATACAAATACATTTGCTAAAGCAACATAAAATATTTCAGCTTTTTTAAACAAGCCTTTTAAGAATTTTATTTAAAAAAAATATGCCATTGAGTGGCATAACATTTCATTGAACTAATATCAGCTAAGGCTATTTGAGGCTAGTAAATGTATTAATTCATAAGATAGTATTGTTCAAGGAACGTTCGAGGTTACTAAAGTAACCCTTCGTTCCCCGAGGAGGGGAACGGAAGCACTATAAGTGGATTTGATTGTAAAATCCACGCATTGGGAGGTTCGGTTCAGAAGCTACTCGTCTGAAAGAGTATTGAACGGGCCAATTAAGAATGAATTGGCAGCGCAAGCCTGCGCAGGTGAGCGGCATAAGCAATCAACTGAGTATATAAGCTCACCTGGCGCCAGCAGACGCTATCCTTTTTAAGCTGAAGAGACTTTCAACAGCTAAGGGACAGTCATTATGGCGACGGAGTATAGTGCTTCCGTTCCCCTCCTCGGGGAACGAAGGGTTACTTTAGTAACCTCGAACGTTCCCCTTCGGGGGGAACTTCAGCACTATAAGTGGATTTGATTGTAAAATCCACGCATTGGGAGCCCATTGAAAGCGCCATAATGACTGCACCTTACCAACACCCCCGATGAGGAGATAGTCAAGCAAGCGTGATGCACCCACATCATGGGGGGCGCGGTCCTCCAACGTGTCCCTGGCCCTAATTTATCCTACTTCAACAGAAGTTTTACGGAATTATATATATTTTTTGGGAAGTCGTGAGCATCTAGATAATTCTAGGAAAATACGACAGTACGTTGGGAAGCGTGCAATCCCGATAGGGAGGACGCTGCGGAGGGCATCCGTTACCCAAGGGGGGATAGATGGCAGAATTTACATATGGACTAGCCCTAAAAATGGGGAGTACGCATAGCAAAAGAGTGGTTAGCGGGGAGGGAAGACACGGGTCCGCCCAGGGGGGGGACTTAACCGTGGCGGAATAAGCATATGGGATCGCCTAGTGGGGATCACGCATAGCAGGCACCTTTACCCAAAACGCGGGCTGACCAGCGGGCAGACCTACAACGTAGTGGGCCAGCAAGTGACTCCTCCGCTGAGTCAGTGCTGGGGGCCACGGAGGAATCTGCAGGGCTCACCTGACGGGGAACTTTACTGACAGATAAAAAGGCGCACGTATCTCCGTGTTAGGGAAAATGGCGCAGCAAGCGTGTTTCAACACCCTACCGAATTGTTTCCTCAATCACCAAGGGTTACCTAATACCCTTGAGGAAACCGGCTCCACTCGCAGATTGTAAAACCTTGCAAATGTGTTGGGTGTCACCCAGCCCGCAGCTCTACAGATGTCTGTTAGAGGGGCGCCGCGTGCGTGCGCTCGAGAGGATGCGAAGCTCCGAGTGGAGTGCGCACGCGCTCTCGGGGGACGCGGCTCATCTCGGCTCTGATAGTGAAAGAAAGGCATCCACAATCTAGTGGGAACTTATTTCGGTACGGCACTTCCCTGCTGCCGACCGCTATAACAGACGAAGAGCTGCTCAGATGATCTAAACTCTGAGTGCGGTCCGGATAATACGCAAAACGCGAACTGGACAATAAGAAGGGCTGGGTCTGCCTCCTCCGAGGGCAGCGCTTGCAGGCTCACTACCTCGTATTAAAACGGAGTGGTAGGAACCTTGGGCACATATCGCGGGCGGGGTCTCAGGACGTGAGAGAAGCCAGCCCAATTACAGGCACGAGTCACTGACCGAAAAATGCCTCCGGGTCCCCGACCCTCTAATCGATATCAACGCAACCAGCAGAGCTGTCTTCAGGGACAGAAAGATACTGAGTCGAGGATCGAAGGGATCTGACGCGGCTTGTGTAGCGAGGGCGAGATCCTAAGAGGGCATGAGAGGGGGCGGGGTGGATTAATTCGCTTAACGCCCCTGAGGAACCGGATGATGAGGTTATGCGTTCCCACGGTGCTGCCAGCCACCGCGTTATGAGAGCGGAGATGGCAGCCACGTAACCTTGAGTGTGGAGGGCGACAGCCTGCTCTCCAACTTCTCTCGGCGTAAAGAAAGCACAACGCTGATCTGGCAAATTACGGGGGTCTTCTCAGCGAGAGACACACCATTCAGTGAATAGACTCCACGTCAGGGCATAGGCCCGCTCG